TGATATCGTTAGTGGAAACGAGCCTCAGGCCGGGCAGGAAGGAAGGCACGATCGAGATTTCACATTATCACTCGCAACTCCAGATCACTACTTCAACCAACATTTCTATACAAGTTGACAGGGGAAACTTTCTAAACTCTTCAATTTCCATCGTCTTTTTTTTCAACCCGTCTTTACCTCCAGAAGGAAACCGTTTGTGTGATTCAATCGCCACATTTTGCGCTCACTTTGCATTCACAAATTGTACATGGGTGGCGACGTAATACTCTGCAAAATGCCTGTGACGTTTGATGAATCTGCATATAGGGAGATGAACTTGGGCGTCAAGCTTGGCACAAGGAGATAGCAGAATGAAAAAACGGGGTCGTACCCGAGGTTACTGTCGTCGGTCCATAGGCAATTGTTATGACAGGTCAACGCACAGGGCCTACCAAGATTCATTCTGAACTTGCCTTTCCGTCCCATGTCTTGCAAGGTACGGAGCAGCTAAGGTACTTGTAGAGGACGAGAGTTGGATATCAAGTGACGAATGATTTACGAATGATCTTCTTATAGCACATAGTACTACTGACGGAAGCAGCGCCTGATATGCGTTTGCTCTAATCTTAGCAGTCGAATTCACTTACCGATGCATTGTCTACTGGATTCGCATGAAACTGGAAAACAAGGTGTTCAAGTACTAATCGTCGATGGTTATATCGGCCTTCGATGTGTTCGTCATAGCATCTCGAAACGCCTCATCGTCAGAAAGCGTAGCCGCATCGAAGGAATAACGTTCCTCTCAGCGTTGACCGCCATCTCTCTTTCCCATTATTATCCTCCTTGATCCCCTCGGCTGGGAGTGGTCCCGGGTGCTGAGCAGCTGCCATCAAAGTCAAAGGTTGGGAACATGGCTGCGGTCGTCGTGATCCAGTGGTGGGAAAGCCCGCACCGCGTACCGTTCATCCATGAGGCGTTTTCCCAGAGAATGAATTCTTTGATATTCAGCTCCATCACTGACAGTAGTACAGCTAGCAGTATTTTTTCCTCCCTGGGCAATCGCTCTGGTGGCTGTGTGGACGCGACAGACCCGATCACGGATAGTCACCAATGGCCTGACAGTTTCGAATGCGAAAAAGGATATTTGTGAGAGTTATGCAGTCTCTGTGATGGTCAAACAGCAAGCAGGAAATCAATCTCTTGACATTCATCGCTGATATCCGCCTTCGACAGTCGACCAAACTCTCAGCGACCGGAGCAACAAGCTCATCAACTGATCCAAAATAGCCTGTCAACCTGTAAGGCGGTATTGTCTACCTCGAATGAGAAGACACCGCATTGTGATGTTTTGGATAGAGGAGTCATTCCACATGCTGCACCCTCAACCTGCGGACCTGCTGCGTCGCTCCAACATCCGTCTCACATCACCCACCTACCTCGCCCAAGCTCGCCACAAACTTCAAAAGAGCCCCAAACAACACCCTTTTGTCTCGGCAGCTTATTGTTAGGTGCAAAACATATACAAAAGGCGATAGACACTCCTCGACGGGAGACTTTGTATGGCAAAGCAAGTATTGAGTAAAGATCTTACAAAGTAGATGGGTTCAAGGTAAGATTTTGAGTGTAGGCAATTTGAATATTGGGACATCATAGCCTCGGTCTGACCGCCTAAGATGTGAGAGGGAAGAAGTTGAGTTTGGATCGGCCGGGCAGAAAGGTGGCATTAAGTTGACATCGAGACAGGGCTTGCGACATGGATTCCTCCCAATATGAGATATCAATGGGAGGGCGTGATAGCCACGCGGGCCAACATTCTTCTCTGTCGCCCGGGTGGTGTTCCCCAACGAATACTCCACAAGAACGAAGCAATGATGAGATCTTGAGGCCCTAAATCATGGGATCACGTTCATCACCTCTCGGCCGATATCTAGTTTACAGTGGAAGGCAAGGCAAAGGTCATAGGTGGAATTATAGAAAAGCCATTCAGGGAGATTTTATAGAATTCTCTGTTAGAAACCCCAAAATAAACCGACTTCTACCTGTGAAAGCTCAGATTAGCTCAAATTAGGCTCGATTCCGTGTGCTCAAATCATAACCCGAACAGACGAAACGGACACTTGGTGATGAACGAGGGGGAAGGCTCTTAAGGTAGCTAACCACTTTCCAGGACAGAGGAATTGCAATACCGTTGATGATATTGAATACTCCAATCAAATATTCTGACGATGGTAACAGGAACAACTATAGAAATCTGATGTCTTATCACCTACTTAGGGGGCTGATGATCACCCCCGCGAATGAGCTGCTTTGCTCAACTGTTACACGAATAACACCAAGGCCCTTTGAGAATGACAAATTGTATTAACCAGTCCCTTGAACTGGAAGTGGCGACTGAAGTGAGAGAGGGGGGGGGGGGGAGATATGCCATGAAGAGTAACATACAGCTCGTTCACCAACACGAGGCTATAAAGTTGATATCAGGACATGTGTGATATAGTTCCGGCTCTACAGCTGAAGCAAGCGTAGATTGACGTGTAAACCGGAGCAAAGCTAGTCAATACAGCCACCCTTGACCCAGCTCGTGAACCGATACCTGTCCTTTAACGCCATACGCACTCACCTGATTTACACCAAGATGCTCCTAGATACTGCCAATATCCTCCCCAGAATCAAGGAATCACTTGCTCAATACGTCTGTCTACGACCTCTAAGCATCGGACTTTCCCGCCAATGACCCATTTCCGAGCCGAGCAGTCCCTCGCATCCTCTCACAAACATGGCAGCGTGTCCCATTAAACCCTCATCCCCGATCTGGGGAACCATCAGAGACGACATCAAAGCTGTACACGAGGCCCTTCTCCAAAGACTCACACGCCAGACGCGACGTGCTCTCTATCCTCATGCATGCATGTAAACCGACTACACAGTAGCCATTACCATCGAGCATCGGCCGACGCGCCAAGTCACCAATAACGCAAACACCACCGCAACTTCTTCGGGGGTGAGGGAAGCCATCAAATTACGAAGATCCTCATCGACGTCATCCACGACCAGACCAAAAGAGATTCGAGGCAATAGACTCTCTCCGGACAATTTCCCACCCGAAAAAAAGGCTGAACTAGGACGGAAAGTCGACGAAGAAAGGACCGAATGCTCGGTCCGCCCATATCCCCATTCTCTCCTTCGGAAAGAAAAGCACAGCTCCTCGAGAAAGAAGCCCCCAGCTCGATAGTCTGTAAGCCGGCTCTTCTCTAGCCCACTCCATCTTCCGTTGGCGCTGCTGCAAATCAGAGAAATATCATAAGATGAAGAGCCCAAAGAACATCATCATCACCAACCGAGGCAGCAACACTTGCGAATGCCAATCATTGGAGGGAGAAAAAAGCCACGAGGCCACCCGCGTGAACCCCGCACATCGACAAGCCCATGATCAACACTTGGAGATCGTTCCCCCCAACGCACCGCACCGTCTGCCTCGGTTTCAACCAAGACTGAACATCGGACCCCCTTCTCCTACCTGGGCAATTAACAGAGGGAGCGAAAGACTCGGTTCGCAAACTACACCTCATTCATCCCATGAGAATGCGACATCTGTGGACGCTGTAAGCTTGGCTGGCAACTCCAACCCTCACCGTACGGCCGAGGGTTCTAATGCGGCAGTGTCCTCGGGACCTCGTGAACATGATTCACAAGACCTAAACCCGCCTCAGGCGCGCACCCTCCTCCAGAGATCTCCCAACCTCGGCGATGCACAACTGAGACAATGAGACTGAGACATTCGACCGACGCACCACCGTTGCGGGTGCCAATACCGAAAGGACACCGCGGGTTCGCAGCCAGACCGACCGACTCGAATGAGTCGAATCGATACAACGGCCGGTCAACAAGTCAGGCAAATTTCTGGTCCCCCCTCCGAGATGTCTGAGAGGGTGTATAGCAAATATCGAAGCCCGCTACACACCCCCTTAGTCAAGATCAGAAATTAGACAGAACTCTCACCCCGCCTTTGCCCCGCGAGAAGCGCTAGAAGAAAAAGATAGTGAGACATGCCATCGAAGAAAAAAAGTCTTACGTGGACAGACAACAGAGTAATGCCGACGTGGTATCGGAATCGCTCGGGAAGTGTAAAGACCTTCTCCCTCCACTTGTTGGTTCGATAGACCAGACAGAACCAGAAAAAAACAAAATCAAGCCTCGAATGACCAAACCGAAAAAGGGCCATCAAACTGTTGATCATTGCCCTACGAGCACGAAATACCGCCGGGTGGAAGCTCTCTGACAGAAGGCGCGATGCGACGCTACCTTGACGCCAGCCAGCAGCTCTAGGCCAAAGTTAGCAATGTCTCAGTTCTAGTCAAACAGCTAGATCTCTTCGACGGTCCTTCTAGAGGTTTCATCCAGTGTGGATATTCCGTCGTTGGAACCGGTGCGTCGTTTTTTGTCGTTAGGAACAGATACGGATTTGGGAGTTCCAACAAAAAAAACGACGACCGAAAAAAGAAAGAAATGCCCGTAGTACGAGTACACTAGAAACGGGGAAGAACGCGTGAACCCCATCGTCGGATCATCGGACCCCAAATCTGTTGTTTGTTCTTATCCCTCTCCCTTCCGCCCACCACGGCGGAGCAGTTATGTCGATCACAAAGACGGATAATCCCACTGAACGGAACCCCAACGTCGTATCCAGACCTCCTCTGGGACAAAATCCTCGTCGCTGAGGCCCCTGGGGCTTCGCTTTTTCCAAATTGCTGGTAGATTTGCAGCGAGGGTCATGTCAATAGTCGCGACGCTAGCCCACTCATCATTAGCCTCATCTGTGCCGTCCCAGACGCACAGTCCACAAGCGGGTTGATTTCGCGAAATGAATTGTCAGACGGCGTGTGAGTGGGATAAACTCTCCCAACATCGACAGTTGGAGGAATCCGGGGTGGCATAATACCGTAGGGCAAACAGCTCATGGGGCGTCTGTGGTCGTCCGTTACCTTTCACTTTGCTGCCCTCCCTTTCTTCCTCTAGGCTTCTTAGCGAACGCCATCCGCGGCCTGGGCCTCCTGTATAGATTTCTTGGCCTGCATGTTGTTGATTCCAACCGCATGTACATGAAAAAGCAGGTGCGTCGCGTTGATGAGCTGTGCCGCGCACCAAGACCAGAGACCGGTCAGCTTCTCCTCTTCGAGACCCCTCTGCAGAATCGGGGAAATCATTCGTGAAATGAGCTCCCGCGGGTTCCCGCAAGCCTCATCGCTCCTCTCCGCATCGCGGCCCTTGATGGTTCGTCTCCCATAGTTATACCATGTCCTCTTGTAGAAAGTCGACCGGCGCTTCCCCAGGCCGCAAGGCTCCCGGTGTGAGAATTGAGAAGAGACCCGTTGCGCCTTTCCTTACCAGGACTCGGCCCACTGGAGGATTCAATCGGACCGGCCAATTCCCATGTCCCCCAGTCTTCTTGAGGTGTGAGCACCGCCCTGGCGGGCCATGGACCATGAGAAAGAAGGCTGGGCGATTTACAAAGAGGGGACCTTCTTGTCTGATCCTCCGAAAGAGATTCCACTCCCAAGGCACAACTCCGGGGGGCCAGGCTTCGTGAAACAATAGAGAGCAACCATGACGGCATGCGGAGACCGATAGATCGTTGCGTAGCAGGTGCAAAAAAAAGGGCCCCCAATCCGGCCTCGTGGAAGGGGGGATGGATAGTGGTGCGATTCTCACGACTCCTCAGTCAGCATCTGCGAGTGCATGGCGTGTACCCGCGATGCCAAGATGCATCTTACACACCCTTCACGTTACTTTGACCAACCACACCTACGGCCCGCGGCCTCAATGTGACTTGTGCCTGCATCTGAGGTGCATACACATCCTGGTGGAGGATTCCATGAAGTTCGCAGTCGTGGGTGCGAGGTTTTCTAGGAGGACCAAATGAAGGCTAAGTGGCAGAATCGTGTGGTGGGCCGTGGCATCCAATCCGTAAGAAGACTCTTCTGAAGGGGGTCGGTCAAGATCAGCTGCACGAAGGGCTTTGGGTTTCTTTGTCTGCTTCGACATCCCGAACCAGAAGCGTGGAGGTGACAGCCCATATCTGTCGATTCAGCGTTTCATGTGAGCTCCTGAATAGACGTCGAATTTTGCAGTGAAGTTTGGCTCTTATCGTCGTCATCGTACCACTAACGCTGCCTCTTTGACCAGAGGTTCATATATTTGAGGGAGGATAGCCATGTGCTCGGCTCTAATCCACAAGGTTTATTCTGCCTATTCGCCTGCTCTGTGGATTCAAGTCGAGCCCGCCATGGGCTGAGAACCAAAAAGAGCATCGCGTCAAGCAAAGCCCTGCTCAATGAAGTCGTTTCGCGGGGGCAAGCTTCCTGGCTTCCTTTTCAATCTGTTATTTTGACAGGCAAACAGCTCAACAATTAGGGCGATCCATTGGCTAGAATTACCATATCATGGGTACGAGCTCGGCCCTGGCCAGTCTGACACATTGTAGCTTTGTTTCTTTTGAAAGGCAGTGGAACCGTTAGTCCGTTGGTTTTCGAGATTTTGAGGAGGGGGGCAAAGACCCAAAAGTTCTTTGGGGCGCCAGGGGTAAGAACAAAAATCTAGTGGAGAAGTGGATGAGATGAACGTGGTGGAAAAGCACCTAGTCCTGGTCTTTGTAAAGTCTGCCCAGGATGCGATCATGTTCCCGGGGCGCGACGTGGATAAGGTGCCTTGGAAAAGTGGATGAGCCTTTTTTCTTTTGTCCGAATCAATCGTAAATGCCTCCGCTCTCAATACTTTGACAGTTGATAAGGTTTACACTGCTCCGAGCCCCCGAGCGGCATTTGCTTCAAGGGCACGTTGATATATTGCGGCCCAAAGAGGGGCCGTCTGTTGTTGCTTTCTTGTGCGCCAGTGTAGACTGGTACGGATACAGACACTTCCATCCGCATGTTGTGACTTACCCCCATCGGATGTGAGCAATGGGCTGCATGCTGAGGAAAACTCGGTCGAGGTCGAATCACGTTCTCGAGGGTGCCCGAATAGCACCCTGCCGTTGTTGCAAAATGGACATTCTCCCGGCGCGGCGAAGCCTTTCCGCTCCCACACATGCCCTGCGCCTGGGCCGACAAGAATTGCCTCTTGAAGTCTCGCAAGGCGACCAGTCGTTTTCTCTTCTTCGATGCCATCTTGCGGCTGACGAGAGAGGATGGCATGACGGGTTCCAGTCTTGATGGAACGTCTCGCTTCCTATGCCACGCTGCACTGTACACTACGTGCTCACAGGCACGCCATGTGGGTGGCATCCGGACCCGGGTAGCGGAAGCCATTCCCCTTGTGTGCTTCGTTGCCTTTTCTGAGAACTCAAGATCGGAGAGGACAGGCTCTACGGCTTGCTGGGTGGACGGTGGACCTATGCGAGTGAGCCGGTGGGCCTGCCGTGACGAACGCGTGCTTACGAGCGTCGCTCTTGATATCAGGATGTGTCGTCACGCATTGATGAGGGGAACAGAGATCTCGGCTTGGGTTCATTGGCGGGGCGCCCTCCTGAGAAAGGTGTGAGCCCATCCATAGCCTCTACTCTGTCCTCCGTACCACACTATGGTAAGCACCTCGTACTGTTAGTACCACGTTAGTGTAGACAAACGACTACCCGCGACTGACAGCCGTTGACGGAATTCTTCAAGGTGCGCCCTAGAAGCTTGAAGAGAGGCCGACGCGTCCTTGGCCGGCTACCACTCGGCCACCAGGCATGCGGAGTGCGGCGTAGCTTCGACGCTTCGCTGCCCCTGGATTACCATTTCGGGAGGCTGGCCAAATGGGGCTAGTTTCCCGTTCCGCCCGCCTTTAGCGACCTCCCGAAAACTGCTGGTCGCCCGGTGCCGGACCCGCTCGGTCGGCGCTGTCTACGCCTCCCACGGATCTGAGTGGTTTTTCCCTCCAAGACTCCTTCAGGCTTCGATAGGCGCCTCTTGTTCTGTGTATTTTACCCGGGGGACTCCATGGTCTATTCGTGCGTGTATTCTCACTGTAACCCGAGTCTCATTGCAAGGGGAACGACCTAAAACCCCGACGGGCCTTGGCGGTTCGGGATGGACCACGGCGACGTATACCATCAACGGTAGGTATTACGGCCGGCTCTAGTGTCATCATCGCGTTCATTCAGGGTCCGCAGTGTCTGATGATTGATGCCTGCAGCCAATGGATCTGACTCGATCAGTGTTTCTATCGCAACAGGAGACATGCTTCTCATTTTTGGATCGATCATGGTGGATGCCGTCTGCCAGCCAGCCCGCCCCCGAGCTACCTTGGCGATCTGGTCCGGCTCCGGGCCTCTCACCGAGGATCTTGTTAGAGCCTACCCGGCCATGCTGTGACTAGAGCCGGGCGTTGGGCGTTGGGTGTCGTGGCGTAATCCACCATTGATTCGGTAGACCATACCTCGTAGGTCCAAGGGAAGTTGTCGGTCATCCGTTGCCGTTCCATTATCTGGTACCGACGTCACAGGTGAGCCGTGTATGTCTTCCTCTACTGCGATAACAGGATAGGAATTCTCATGCTGAAGTCGGTGCAACCAGCGAAACAATGCTGGTTATTGGCTTGCTCGCTTCAGAAAATTCTTCTTGTTGTCGGCAAGGGCTAGGCTCGTAGACCACGGTAGCTGTTACATTGAGCATGCATACAGCGGGGCTCTCGCGATGACAATGATTCGGCTTCAGGACCCGACGATGTGGTCAAGCCTCTTCCCCGAGTGGTCCGGATCCTCAACCTTTCCGGAAAGAGTCGATTCCCTGATTGAGATGGTGGTCCCTCTGGTATGCTATACTCAAGAAGTTGTCGCAATTTCCTAAGGGGCTCTTTGTCTGAGACCGAAATAAAGCTGGTCGCTGGCGGGAGCAGAATTGAGTATTGTTGCTCAGCGCATCAATCCGATCCGGGCAACGGGTTTGTCGATGCGCAAGATATTCCAAACAACCTAGAGGCTGGCTGACGCCATGTCGTTTGCCATAATGACATGACGGAAATGACGAAAATTCGGCTTTGTCATTTGAATGTAGGCTAAGGTTGCGTTCGTTGTCTGGACCCAAAATCGCGGCCGAGCGACATATTTGCGGCACTTCCGCATTTCCGTATATTCGAGAAGCTCTTCCGAAGGCTGTCACAACAAAACAGTGCCAACGCCAACGCCAAGCCAGGACCCCTACCCGTGGCTTCTGGTATTGGAAGGTCTTGTATTCAGCAGATGTGACAGGACAGCCTGCGTGCTTTCGACTCTGAGGCACACTGTTGGGATTCTGAACGGTCAATCAAGAAGGTGACTGCAATTCCTTGTCTAAGTGGTTTTCGACCCTGCAGCTGTGACTACTCAGATCGCGCCTCAACCTGGTTGCGAAGTTGACAATCGAGACGATTTGACAGCCCATAAGTTCAACTCGAGCCAATAGGATGGATACCTTGAATCTCAGATATCTGACGGGTACAGTCGATCAAACCGCCTTCCACTTTGTGCAGATATTCCGGCGATGCGGCTTGCCGTACCGAACTACTGTGTACAATGCTGTTTCGAGACTACCAACTTTCATCCTCAGCCTGACACCCGGGTCATGGATGGAGGGCAGATAGAAATGACATGAGCCGTATACGCCGAACCAGTGACCGATGGGATTGATTTCGAAACCCTTCCTCTCCTTATCCGAACATCGATGTCATCGCTGGACTTGCGGAAATCCCTATTCGATAGTGCATTGAGGTTCATACTGAGTTAAACTTTGTCGGATGTCGCCAGTCCGCGGCTACAGAGCCACTATAGTGCGCTGGTTCATCTAGTGCGCCGTCTGGTAGAGACTAATATCCGTAGATGAAGACACCTTTGTGACGCCCAGACACGCCAGGCTAGCTGAGCAGGAGTCTGCGATGGTGGTGGTGGTGATTGTGATTTGTGGTGGTGGAGGCGTGTTGCGGGGTGGTATGCCAGGGGTAAAAGGTGTGGGTGGGACTGCTGCTGGGTGGTCGTCTTTGGCTGACCGAAATGGACATGTCTGTGCAAGAACAGGGGACCACCAACTCGAGGGGGTGGCATCAAGGGTCGCGGAGCTGCGGGAAGTCTCTCCTACCGCGCTGCGCAGTGTCGGCTGCACCCCTATGTCAGGCACATCATTCCGCGCTGCGAAAGACGTACGTCTGCGTAGCTCATGCAGAAGTCAGGATGGTTCAGAACCTGCAGTGACGGGCATTGAGCTGTAGGGCGCGCCGAGACACGAGTTGAAATTTCCTTTTTGCTCAACGGGTCCTAGGCTCGGAGGAAGCACTTAGGGCTTCTCAACCCGTCAATGAAGCACACAATCCGGCGACTTCAAGGCCATCCTTTCGCATCGGTCGATTGGAATGATTTCCAGGTTGTTGGGCCTCGTGGTTGGCCGAGCCAAGCGAAGAGAAGCACAACCCCACCAGCTTTGCTCCAGCGCTGTGCTCCACGGTGACTGCCAATCGATCTGCAAAGCAGGGGCTCGTATGGGCAACGCAATGAGACACATTGGCCATTCACATCTTTCCGATCGTTTCGTGGGCGCTGAGAGGCTCAGGGACGGCACGCCCATATGAAGACTCGGCGGCGTATGCGTGCTGACGATTGATTCGGGTCACAAAATCGTTGACGACCATAACGATCATGGCCACCTTAACCTGGAGCTGTAGCGCTTCGTGATCCAGGTGGAGTGGGAGCTGAATGCCTTGCCTTGCCTTCCAGGCTGCTAGGAAGCAAACTTCATCTTTGCGCGCGCACTTGGTCAATCTGCTCCGTAGATGGCCATCCATTCACGCTTCCAAAGTGATGGAACGCCGGGATCTTGCCCCAGAGATCTCTTTTTGGCTGACAGGGCTCCGAACGCCATGGCAATTGACATGCCTTAGCATGGTTTCTTGAAATTGAAGGCGCCTGGCAAAATGAACGGTGGAGCCCCCTTTTCTGAGTGTGCTTGTTGGTCTTGGCCCTTAAAACATCGCAACCAACAACAAGGTCTTCGAAAGACTCGTTGCAGGCAATGGGCATGGCTGCTAGCATTTCTTCCCCGCGCGGAATCGCAAGACCGTCATTACACTCTCCGGATAGTTGGAGCTGGTTGGAAACCAAGACGGGTGTCCACAGAGGTACGTTGCTAGCGATCGTTGTCTTTCTTTTATGGTGGTCATTCGTCCCATGCTGCGTGCTAGCTGCTGAGTACAGAAGCCACCACGTTAGTCGCAGTTGGCACAATTGCGGCTTCGCTCTTGGGCATGCTTGAAGGTTGGAACGAGACTTCTGCGAGACAGTACGTGAAACCCTCCTTGCTTGTCTCCTCTGTGTCTCTCTCGATTTGGCACCTCTGCTTCTCTCACCGTTGAGAGAAGATCAAGACATGAGGTTCCTGCGGACAAGCAAGGGGAGCCGATGGTTTGCCTCCCTTTCAGCTGGACAAGCGACGCAACAGGCAAGGCATTGCTCAGCCCTAAAATCGGCTGGCTGCTTTTGCCCTCCCTCTGCTATGCAAGTACGTACGAGCCGTGGGTATCCGTACTCCGTACAGAGAATTCATAGAAGCGTTACAGCTTTGTAAGTCCAGGGGTGCCATGTCGGGCCTTTGACGTGGCCAAGGACTATATTGACAGACATTAAGAGGCGTTTTCTGCGAAGTGGCAGTAAAGTGCAACGTCCGGATTTGAATGTGGGCCAACGTGGCAAAGAGTCGTCAACACGTTGCGTTTATTCTTGGTCGCGGAATAGACCGATTCGACGAGGTACACAAACAGAAGAAAGCGCACCAGGTGTCACTTCTGGTTCCTTTTGCTTTGGTAACTTGTCTGTGCACAGCGAGAGGCACCCACGTTCTCGGCACTTTGCCAGCAGCACCAGAAGGCTGGGATTTCGGGAAGCCGCTATTCAGCTGACTCGCGGGCACTAGCCACGCAGCTTTTAGCTATGGCTCAGCCGCCTTCGAAACGCTCGCTCGAGTACCAAACAATGGGAAATGGCTAAAGTGGTTTGTTCGGCTTGCTTCGATCCATCTCGTTGCTGGAGTATCGCAAAAGAGAATGGTAAAGTCAGGAAGCAAAGCTAAAGCGGTGAGAGGTGCCGGGCAAAGCTGAAGCCGAGCCATGATTGTCACCGGGCTCTTCGTGATGGCAAGGGCTAAGGTGAGACATGCAGGCGCATTGCAACGAGGGAAACGTCAGTGAGAGACATTCGACTGGCAATGTCTCGCTCGCTGCCGTGCCGAGGGAGCGGTCGGTGATGGAGGTGAGGGATCTGAGTCAACTGACGGTCGGTGGTGCATCCGATACGCGCCACACCATGTGTACAGCGTAGACAGCGTCGATAGCTGGGCGTGTTATAAGCCCCAAGGCATGAACGGTTGGTAGAGGCTGAGGTGAGGTGGCATCGGCAGAGCACGGCACTGTTGGAATTTGCTAGTGAAAGCCCTCGATTGGGTTGGCGGGAGGCCTTGAAAAGCCATGCGCGGCATGCTTTGTTTGAGTTTTCTGGGGATCGATTTGCCGAATGTTGTTCGACCAGACCAGACCAGACCAGAAATAAGATCTCCGTAGAGACGAAAGACTGTGGTATCCGTAGAACGAGAGGGTTGAATCGAGGTCAACTTTCAGATCGGGGTCGTTAGGTGGTCCAAGATTGGGTCACGCGGTTGGGGTTGAGTAGAGGCGGCGGCCGGCGCGCAGCGGCCACGGCGGCAAGAGAGCACATCACAGGGACCTAGCTGGATAGCTCGAATGATAGGCTCGACGCGTGAAGAGCATGAAAAACGGAAGCAGGGGAGTGCGAGGGGCTCGCAGTGATCTTTCCCAATTCAGCCGTCGAACTTTACCTTATGTCATGTCTGACACGGGACATGGGTGACGGGCAACTGCAGAGAAGATGTGACTCCTTCCATGCCTTCCTCACCAGCTTACCTTGGTTGCGTTATTATCAACACGGAAAGTCTTCGTACTCAACCTGGAAGGTACGGAGTATCCATCCTCAACCTGCCTTGGGCAACGCCACCGCCCACTATATGCCAACTTGGCAGGAACAGGATGCACAATCGTGGAAGGAGAGCTGAGCAGTCCAAGAAACGAAGAGTCATGGAAAGAGAGAGAGAGAGAAAAGCCACCATGACAAGATGTTGGAAGGCAAATTGGACGGCATGGTGCCCATCAAACCAGGGGCAATTCGTGCTGTGCCCCCTTCGCGTGATGAAAGGCATTGATGAATGAGGGACTGCAGAAGCACATTTCAAGCCAACCGAGATATTGCATCTGGGTGATACTCCGTAAAGGTGCCCAGGAATGTTCTCAGCACACTTGTCGACACGGGTTGTGCGCATTGTGAGTGGTGAAATATTTAGCGGGACGCCGTGGACTGTGGACAGGTGCTGAACAACACCGGGAGAAAGATCCACTGAATACCCTCGTTGAGGCCTGTCTGCGGCCTTGACTGGTCTCTCTGCTGGTGGGGTTACTCGATGGGCATCCAGGATTTGGTCCGCCACGGAAGATGCAGCACCTTAACTGGAGCGAGGTGAGCAGCCACGCAGTACGGAGTACCTGAGCAGTCTGGAGGTGGGATTCCCGGCCACACGACAGCAGCCCGGCCAGGTCGAGAGTCCCCCGGCCGCCGATATGGGTCTGTTAACAATGCCCCATCTTTTATTACAAAGTTCACGCCCCCTTTCACAACAGTGGTTACGAAGTACACCACTCCCCCCTCTTTCAGGCATTCCTCCTCCTCCTCTTCCTCCATCTCCTGCGTCCGTCCCTCTGCTTATTGCACCAAGCGCTCCTCCTCTTCCAATTCCCCTCTCCTTTTGGTGCTTCTTTTTTTTTTTTTTTTTTTTTCCCCTTCCCAGTCCCTGGTCGGCGGCCATCAAATCCACACCCTACCCCACCAGACTTCACCCTCCCTCCTAGCGTCCCTCGAATCCAACAACACAATGGAAGGCCATGAAAACCCTCCTCTCCTCTTGCTGTGCCTGTGCCTCTCTTCCATCCTGGGCCTGGTCCATCAATCCCTCAATTCCATTCTCACGCTAACCTCCACACCCCTGCCATGAAGACTGTCGCCTCCCCAATAGGGCATGCAGACGACGATGCATCGCCTCACGCGAAGCTCGCTGACTTCCGTCCCACCGTCGCCGCCAGAGAGGGTCGTCGGGATTTTTCCTACAAGGACGCCCATCATCGTCACCTAGTCTATGTCCCTAATTGGCCCCTGTCCACGCCCAACTATACTGTACGAAGTAGCCTGCCCATGTCAGTCCCAGAGTTGGCCGACCCATCACACGCAAAATACCCGTTCCCGAGTCCTGCCTGGTCCGTGGAGTCGTGGTACCCCAGCATCTCTGGCCTGGACCCCGGGAACAGCGCCGCGACTGGTTGAACCTGATGGTACGGAGTACACTACGAAGTACACACCAGAGCGGCCGAGTGAAGGAGAGAGACAGACAGACAGACACCACACACCCGCACGCCTCTGCAGAAAGTTGAGCGGACACTACCCAGTAGCCCACGCATCGATGTACATAATGATGTCCCACCCTCCTTCTTTTCACTCGAGGGTCCTCTTGATCGGTTCTGGGCTCCTTCGTCGTTGCTTCTGCTCACGTCTCTCCTTGATACCCCGAGTTGCTGTTGCTACGCTACCATCAACCGGCATCGCCCTGACCTGTCCTCCAATTACGGACCATGACGGTAGCGATATAGCCAGAGACGTCTCTGTCCCATGCTGCAAAATCTCGCCGACAACTTAGACGCCGCTCGCCCTACCTAGTTCGCCGGAACATATACGAATATCTGGGAATACGGTTCAAGTAAAGACAAGACTTGAACTTCAGCGGGACTGAGGACGTTACTTGGGGAAATTGTTCAAACTACACGCCATTTAGAGGGCATCCGACACCGAAAACAGCCGTCAGGACTACGATCATCACTGCTACGATATATCACTACGCTTGAGCACCATTGCTATACTGCGATACTCGTCCACGCATTGTCCAAAGTAGTATTGGCTACTGGAACAGGATCATCATCAAGCGGCTGCCCGACTCGACAACGAACGGAACTTTGAACGGCCGTACATATTTCAGTCGCCCGTCAGCTATAATTCGACCATGGCCAACGAGTCTCTCGCAAGGGGAGGCTGTCCCATCCCATTCTACTCTGCGAGCTTGTTTCCAATCGACGAAGGGTGTAAGTTTGATGAGCTACAGCATGACCGGTCAAGTTGTTGACCTTTCACAGTTATCGAAGGCCGGCTATGCCAAAACTTGACCGCGACCTTACAGTGTTGCTTGCCCTGCCCGCTTACGGACTGGGTCTACCCGGATTACTTCAACACTCTGACAACGGCAGCCAACTGGGTCTGCGTCGCTAGCGCAGCATGCTGTCTCTTCCTCCTGATATCATGGGCTTTTCTGCCTGTTGATAAAACCTACAGACACTACCTCAGCATTTGCTTGACAATAGCTGTGTTCATCATGAACGTAAGTAGCCCGCCCTTCGAATAGGGACGAGGGAGACTGACTTCCCCTTCAGCTTGGCTTCGTCGTGCCACTTGCTGATCAACCGGAGCAATGCTACAACGACATCACACCGCACAGCATGAAGTCTAGCAAAGTCTGTGGTGCCTCTGGGGCCTTTCTCTTGCTCGGAGGCTGGGCCGGTGTCATGTGGGTCTTCTTGCGATCGTTGTCCCTGCATCTCCAGATTTGTTGGCAAGTTGTCGTGGGCCGCAACTTTATGATTTTTGCCCAAGCTACGGGCTGGGGCATCCCGCTTGTTGGCATCGTCGTTGCCCTCGTCTTCAGTGGCGTGTCGTTCCGATTCGGCGCTACTTGTCACATCAACCACAAGAACAGTCTTGCCGATTTCTGGATACCTCTGCTGGTATTCGCCGGTCTCACGGTCATCATCCAATTCGCCACTTTCGGATATTGTATCAAGGTCTATCTTGCTTCCCTAGCGGATAACAGTGCGTCGACAGAAGGGTCGAGCTTGCCCACATACAGCAATAGCATCCAGACCATGAGCCCCCGTCAAGCATACCGCCGAGTGCGACGTGTCATTTCTCTCCAATGGCGAGGTATTGCTATTGTTCTCATCATCATTGCCGACGTCATCTTCTTCTCTGTCGTCTTCGTGTTCCAGGACAACACGGTCCAGGCAGTACATGACGACGAGAGCATAGCCCAGGCTTGGATTCTCTGTCTTGTCAGCACCAAAGGTGACAGGACGAAGTGTTTGGACAAGGCTAAGAACATGGTTGTCAACGAGGCAACTATTACGGCGGTCCTCATCCTTCTGGCGGTAAGTGACGCTCCCCTATGCCCTGTACACTTTCTCAGGTGACTGACTTGATCCAGATGAATGGTATCTGGCTGCTCTTCCTACTGGGTCGCTGGGCCATGGTCCTTGGCTGGGTGGACCTTTTCACCTCCTGCCTAGGCAGAAACAAAAAGGAGTTCGTATCGGTGGATGCCAGATACGATGTCAAGAAAGACACACGTGCGTACGAGATGCTGTCCAGAGACTCGAGCGCTGTTGTAACACCAATCTCTCCAGTCAAATCCCCCATCGTAAGTCCCAACAGCGAACGACGAAGAACGCCGGATTACTTTGGGCAGACCGCTCGCTATCAGCCGCCGATGCGGTCGTTCTCGAGTCCTCGACCGCCGCAAACACCTCCCACCTGGGACGCGCGAGCAACTTACGCTCGGCCCGAATCACGATCCCGAGGGGACGGCTTCGATGACATGAACCCACTTGGGATGAACCGTATATAATGAGACGAAGCAGCTGGTCATGACGGAACGAGAAGAAGAGAACAAAAAAAATAAAAACGGAGAGAACAATGCGTCTGAAATCGGACGAAACCATATTTCAAGCGCCTGCTTTTAAGCGCGCGCGCAACAATACCCGACAACATAAAAAGAGCGGCACGATTCGGCCGAAGTTGGATCTTTGCCCGCGCTGATCCGCGCTGACGATGAACACTGATCAGTGTCGCAAGAAGAATTTGAGAAAGATGATGTAATGTGGAGGAACCACCGGCCTCGTCGGCCATGTCAATATGTCAGAAAAAATCAATGTAATATCAGCGTCGGCGTCTCGGTCTCGTTTATGCCGCGAAGGAATGCGAAGAGTACGTTGCCCCCACAATTTAAAGACCTGAAGGAAAGGATTGTGGGAAGGTCGGCGGCGGGAGCCTCTCTCTTATTGATGGATGGGGGCCATGGGCCTCGGCGCTTCAGCGTCGGGGCGGGAGAGGGAACGGGATCGGCGGAACGAATCACGATTGACGGACATGTAGGAGCAGTTGAGAGTCCGAAAAATAGAAGAGTCACGCGACAATTTAATGCGAGATGGCCTTATCAAGTACCGGATTGTGCATGTACTGAGTTTCCTAACGGCCCAATGGGTGGAAACATGAGGAAACTACCGAACAAGGATGGTGGTGGTGGTGGTGTTGCTGTGGGTGGGATTATGGGATAAGCCCGCCCGGAAGATGCGGAATGGTCGGGGTTTTCACGAGTGATGCGAGGAGCAGCAGCGGAGGGGGGCCAAACAAATCTCAGCAATCGCATTGGAGCGAGCCATTGATCAAGTGCCATGTCATCCAATTCCATTGCATCCCAATGCCTTCCGCTCCGGCTTCTTCGGAGGGACCCAGGTCTTGACTTCTGCTAGGCTTATGTGATGTAAGCGGGAAGTGCAGATTGACTGTTCGGGCAGTGGACGGACTTTTTCACTCATCTGCCCATTCTTTTGATTATAAGTAGGTTGGGCTTCCAAAAGGAAGGAATTTTCACGTACGAATGTAGCACCCTTTTTTCTTACACTTGTAACAAAAAAAATAGTCTCGTCATTTATACTGAGAGACTCTGACCGAAACGTGTGCATGACTTCTGACGACGAGGCATCAACGACGACGAACTGTTGATCCTAGCTTACACGACAAGCACACTCATCCACCAAGTTATCGTTTCAGATACTGAACCGACTGGGTTTCTGAATTCACTTGATCCAAGCCACCACGAACTACGAAACAGAACAAAAACGTTTCAGTCAGCTTCAGAACTGTCGACCATCAACGACTGAGGACGGTACTGAGATTTTGGCCTGGAAGTTGGGTGGAATCGAATAACATACCGAAAGCGAAAACAACGAGACGGCAGCGGAACCTGGCCGAGAAGGGGCGGAAAAAAAAGGAAGGGAAGGGAAATCAGACAGAGAGTAAGAAACCTATCAATACCGCCAAGACGGAAACGGCCTGACGTCTACAAGGGCTGTGCGCGTATTCGGTGTGAGCGTTTCACCGGACGACATCAAAACGAGACGAAAAGGGAACATCTCGAAGGAACGAAAAGAGCAATCCGAACAGTGAAGCGTTGCGTTCCCGAGCACGTGGTCGAAACGTTCTTATACCCTGCTCAGGCTAAAGTCTCTCAAGGAGATCAAAAAGTAAGGAACACCTCGTTACAGAGAGAAAGCAAAAGCAAAAGCAGAACACGGGCAGGTTCAAGGTGTGTGAGGTCATCTTGCCCGTTTGTTAGGTTATCGGCATCGTCGGGACAAGCTCTACAGTCTGCAGCCCCCGTCCGTCGTCCGTCGGATTTGAGGCTTTGTCCTTGCAGCAGGGCTGGCGCTGGAAAGGGACTAGTTTGGCCCGGCTTGACACCACCACCTCCCGCACAAGCCCACCGCTTTCCGATCCCGCCAAGGGGAGCCTCTCAGCGGACTCACCTCAGCTCTCCAGGTGGTGACACCGGACTCCACTGATTGGACCACAAGTCCCACAATCCAACCTTATCGCTTATCTTATCGGAACATTAGTGATGCCGTTCTCCGAGATCTTCAAGCTGAACCCCGGCACGCCAGCCAGGGTTTGGCGCTGGAGCGCGGGACGTCCCCAACCTGGGACGCCGATTGATGACATCGAGCAACCGAGCACTCCGCCAGCTAGAGGTGGTGTCTACCTCCCGAGCATAGACAATTCTGCGACAACCGAAGATCATGGAGCCTCCACCGGCCTCTTCTTCCGCAAGATCTCAGCCTCACCCCAGCCTTCTGCACCAACAGCAACAACACATTCGAGATTAAGAAAGAGAACCTGCCACCTTGGCTTCGTCAGATTCTCGTCCTTTAGAATGTTTCTCATACTGTCCCTCGTCTTCCTCGGCGGCTACGTCCACTACTTGTGGAAAGCAGAGGCTGCTCTCGGTGTCCCCTGGGTGCCCGACCCGGAGGCCCAGCTATTCCAGCAGCGGCCCCTACTACCTCCGGCCCAGGAGACCAGCATCGACACGTACTCGCTGCCGCTGCACACAAAGGGCCGGGACATTGTTGACGAGGAGGGACGTCGCTTCAAGCTCCTGTCCGTCAATTGGTATGGCGCCAGCGACGAGCTCAACATCCCCGGCGGTCTCGACGTCCAGCACCGCGATGTCATTGCGCAGACCATTCGCGGCCTGGGCTTCAACAGCGTCCGCCTGCCGTACAGCGACGAGATGGTCATCACCGACCCCCCGATCCCGGCCGAGCTGGTCGCTGCCAACCCGGACCTGATTGGTCTCAAGGCCCTCGACATCTTCGAGGCCTGCGTGACGGCGCTGACGGACGCGGGCATCGCCGTCATCGTCAACAACCACATCACGCACTCGACCTGGTGCTGCGGCGCCGACCCCTGCGACGCCCACTGGGCCAACGACCACCTCGGCCCGCTGTGCCGCATCAAGCAGACCGAAGAAGACTGGATCCAGCACTGGGAGAAGATTATGCTCCGCCTTGTCGACAACCCGGGCGTCATCGGCGTCGACCTGCGGAACGAGGTGCGCGGCGTGTGGGGCACAATGACCTGGGACAAGTGGGCCACGGCGGCCGAGAAGGCCGGCAACAGGCTGCTGGAGATGAACAAGGACTGGCTCGTCATCGTCGGCGGCACCGAGTCCGGCAACGACCTCACCGGCGTCGCGAAGCGGCCCGTTGTGCTCGACGTGCCCGACCGCGTCGTCTACTCGGCCCACGTGTACGCCTGGTCCGGCTGGGGCAGCCTCGAGGGCCGGTACTCGAAGCGGGCGTACGCCTCCTTTGTGAAGGCCATGCGGCACAACTGGGCCTACCTCGTCGAGGGCGACGTCGCGCCCGTGTGGGTGGGCGAGTTTGGTGCGCCGCACCAGCCCAGCATCGGCGACGCCAATTACTGGAACAACCTGCTGCGTTACCTCAAGGTCATTGACGCCGATTTCGGGTACTGGGCCGTTAACCCGCGCAAGCCAAAGGATAACGTCAAGGAGACATATGCACTCGTCGAGGACGACTGGGTCACGCCCGTGCTGGATTACCGGATGAAGGACATGGTTGAGATTATGAGGGCGTAGTGCGCTCCGCAGTTTTGGCTGGATGGTGAACAGGTGTGCCTTCTAGAGTCGCGAATTGAGGAGCTCTTGGCGACGATGTGTATTTGATGACACGAGAGATGGAAAATGTTTCCCCCCCTTTTTTACCACTCCCCCTTAATGGCGTTTTATGGAATGGTTCTTACTATAGGCACTTTGGTTTTTTTTACTCTGGGAGTGCCAGCTTCGGATACCCGGCTTTGGTCAGGCACGAGCTAGACGGTCACTGACGATTATGTCATAAAAATTGGCGAACATAGCCATACGTTGGGATTAGGATGACAGTTTTGATATAAGCAATTGGATTCATGAATGGCTACGTAGTCAACGAATAAGGAGTCCCTTGGATGAACTCTCAGTCCCTTCCTCGTCCCGTGTGAGGCATCCGCCATAGGTGACGCGAAGCATTGTTACTAAGGTATGAACTGATTCATCTGCGCTGATTATGCTAGTCCACGTGGTAGGACACGATGAAGAGGTCAGCGGATGGTCTCCAGTGGCTGTGGTGATGGAAAATTGGTCGGATGGTACGTCCGTGGCCTTGATGCTTAATCCGTCTTTTTGCCTGAAGGTACGACCACTACTCGTGACCAGAGACTTCTTTCAATACCGTCCTATAAGTCCTGATGATAAAGGCTCACGGATGAGGTAGGTACTGCTGCCCTCGTATAAGGTATACATTGGAATGTTTCCTCCCCGCAAAACGTGCTCGCTGAAACAATCGACCCCTCCTCTCCAGACAAGCAATCCAGCAAGGTGATCCCAACACCCTCTGTGAAAGCTCCTGTTATCGATAAAGCAATGGAATGGAAAACGCAGGTGCCACCCGCCCGACTTCCCATCAGGTCCCGTCATCAGGCCATCACCTTATCGATAACCGCAAATTAAAGTGGAGCAACACCCCTCAGTGGGTGTGCCGCCGCGCGCGTGAGTTGGAGGTGGGAGGTCCCGGAGGGTGGTGGTGTGTGTGGGTTGACGACAAACGGCGGCCAGAGGGAAGCTGCGGATGAGCTGCGGCGGGGGGGGGATGAGGAGAGGCCATTCTCCAGACCTCACCTTCCACCAACCCAACTCTCTTCGCGCAGCCATACACACACTTTCAAACCGTCGCAAAAGGCAGTGTGTTTCTTTTTCCGTCGGAAACAGGCAAAGCCTCGAGATTCTATACTTTGACAAATCCACAACAAAGGGGAGGGCGGCTCGTATGTTGCGCGCGAGGCGAAAGGGAGAGAAAGACTCCAAGGTGCGGTAGATGGCGGGCCAACAGGGTCAGTATCATGATCGCGGCTTCCGCGAGGCTGTGTTGGGGAAGTGTCAGGTCCAGACCTGTGTCGATCGGGTACGTACGACGCAACTTTGCTTCCTCTGCAACTCTGCTTTTGTTTTCTTTGGGGCAACGCGAGAGGCCTCTGCAGCTTTTCCTAGTATCGACTTGCATGCTGACTCTACTTTCTTAGTTTGGCGACGGAGCTACCGAAGTAATCCGGCAACGCGAGCGCGACCACGTCAACGGCATCGAGAATGACACCCTTGTGCAGGGCGTCCCGTCTGACCAGATTGTAACGGGTGTCGAGGATGAGGATGCGGGCAGCTCACAATCAATGTCCTTGGAGAGGAAGATACCGAAGACGCCGTACTTTAGGAACAACCTGACAGCTCTGTCGCAGAGATACAATGTTGGATCTCCCCTTCCCGCTTCGTCGGATGCCGTGAGGGACGACCACTTGGCTAACGGGACCCCTCTCCTAGCTCTACTTCGCTGCGTACGAAAACCGAATCTTCGTCTATCGCCCCAAGGGCGTCCCGAAACAGGCACTCCCTCGGGAGCCGAACCTCATTCTGGCCACAAAGCCTGACAAGATCGCGCGACATATTGGAGGCACGCTGAATTTGCGCTTCTCCCATCAGATCAACCACATCGCCGTCGGGTTTCTCGGGAGAGAGGAAATCCTCGTTTCGGTCTACGACGATGGGTCGGTTTTCGCGTACTACGTCCGGAAGATTGCAAAGTATATCGAGCGCATAGCGTCCGGTTGTCGAGAACCCAATCCGGTGCCGACGTACTTCTTGCGCGAGAACGTGGGTATTTCGGCATGGGGCATCGCGATTCATCAAAAGTCGCGACTCATCGCCATTAGCTCCAACAAGCGGGAAGTCACCGTCTTCGCCTTTGGGCTCTCCCGCTTGCCCGAGGATATGGACTGTCATGCGAGACACTTGGATCACTGCGAAAGATCGGTTCTCAAGAGGAAACGAAATTGGAGGATTTGCATACCCCTGGGTGAAGGGGGTCACAACATCCCCAATCTCTCTCTCTGGGACGACCATCATGGGTACGCTGAGAAAGTTGTTGCGAACGATATCTACGGGACGACCTGGATCTTGGACATATGGAAGGCCGGAACGGCGCCGTTCAAGATATCGCACAGAGCTAACGTCCAAGGGCAATGGGCGTTCCGTAATCCAATGTAGGCCATTGTCGGACACTTGAATATCAACTCTGCTAATCCAATTTCAGGGGCTGGGGCGTCATTGTCCTTCCGTACGAGAGTTTCCTGCCCGCACGATCTGTGACAGACCTCCTGGGCATGGAAGAGTCAGACATCATGAACGCTAAAAACTCCCACGCTGGGCGATGGATTGAGACCCAACGGGGCCTCTCCCGCATTCGCGATCATCCTGCGGAGCCGATTGCCCAGCGCATGCCGGAACCTGAAGCGTTCGGCCACCACCACGGAGCGGCATGGTTTCAGCATCAACAGCCAGCTTTCCTAGCTGCTATACTCAATAACCAGCAGTTTCTCGGACTTCCGGCGCCTCCACCGCCGCCGCCTCCTCCCCCTCCTCCGGCACCAGTCGACAATGATAACAATGTAGACGGCGGTGCTGTACCTCTCGCGAATGCTATTGTCCCTCCTGGAGCCCCAGCGACACAAAATGCGGTCCTGTTCACCCCGGATCACGAAGACGATGACGACGACGGGTGGAGCGAAGAAGAGGGAGAAGAAATTCCGGTCGCAGCATGGGACGATATGTCTTCTTCTGCTTTTGATAGCGAAGATGATGACGTGGGTGGGCCCAACGGAGAGGATGCGAATGAGATCGTCTTCATCGAGGAGGCGCTTTCTGCAACGGAAGAAAATGTTGGGTCTGGCGAAGGCATGACGCAGATTGCGCCGCCTGAGATGCTTTCTAGCTTCTTCAAAAACACGCCGAACTACGACATGAGCGAATTCCAATCTTCCTGGCTAGACATGGTCTATACGCCTCACGATGGCAAAACGTACGTTGCCCCAACGACAGTCATTGGACGCCTCCAGTATCTTCGTCGACCCCTGGTAAAGAATCGAAACACAAAGGAGCAGGACAGGAGCGCCCTCGAAGAATTGGGCAACCGGTGCTGCATCTTGCGAACCTACGAAGAGGACATTGAGATGCGCAGTATCAACCCAGACGACGGTGCGGCGGTCTTCTGCAAGGACCCGATCAGCTGGATGTACCCCCCTCACCCCTTACTGCAGCATTCCGAGCGGCTCAATATGATTCTTCACATCCCGGAGCTGTCGCTCGTGGTGATCGGATCCGCCATGGGTCGTGCTATATTGCTGACCCCGACACGCTCGCGTTACCACATCCCGGGGAACGGGTATAAGCTGAAGCAAGGGTTCCGGATTGACCGTGTTCTGCCGACGCTCTCGGACGAAAAGGCAGGACGTCGGCCGCCTCGGGGACTCTATGGCATCGCTGCTGGTCCGATTCAGGAGGGCGGCGCGACGGGGTGTCTATTGCGTGCTGATGATGCAGCTATGCCGTCGCCTGCGTCGAGACGGTACAGGCTTATGCTCCATTATCGGGATCATAGTATTTTGAGTTACGAGATCAGTCGCGATGACAAGAATGAGCACGTTCTCATCTTTTGAGACGCCGATTTCTTTGCAGAAGGGCAATGGTGAGGAGCCAAATCGAGGTATGAAGAGAGAGGTCGAGGGCAATGATTCATTAAATAAGCTGGAGGCTATGGAGGAAGGGAGTTATGCATTTTCTTCATGGACATGATGATGGCGTTTTCTTGAGGCATTTCAAAGGTCTTTTTTTCCTGATACCCGGCCTAGTGAACTCCCCCTCTCTCTTCGTGGTTGCTTGGTCGCGGAAGAGGGAGAGGTCTTAGCAAAAAGATAGCTAGGCCTTTTGAAGAATACGATAGCCATTAACCTTGAAACGTGTGTAACGTTTGTAACGTGTGTAATGTTTTCATACTTAGGGAAGACCGACCTTCTTCTTGAAAGTGGCTGCTATGGAGAGGGGACGAAAGGGGCCCTGGGGTGATGACCGCACTGCTTGAATTTCGAAGAGGTATGGAGGTTATCTTGCTAGGTCTCTTTCTCGCGGATTCTCTTGTCAAATCCGATGTGGCGTCTTGCTTTAGTTATGGATTACTTGATATCTGGTCTTGATGGTAAGTGTTCCACCATGCAGCCTGGCACTGATGCTTGAGGTTAAGTTCCTCCGTGGATGATCCCACCCGTTTTGAAGAGATCTTGTTAGACTTTTCTGTTGGCAGAGTGGATCCTATATCAATGGTTCAGCGTGAGGTTTCTCCTCCTGTTGACCATGTTTGTATGTGAAAATCAACCGGGTTGTGTGTGTCATGTCCTGTCTGGGAGTTTTCGTCCCCCTTGTTTGTGGTATTTTGACCCTTTTTCTGGCTCGAAGTAGGCTATGAGAGAACGGGTCCGGAAGCTGAAGTGTAAGGTGATGGTGGCTGGTGTACTAATCAATGGCACGATGGAGTCGCATCATTTTGCGAAGCTCATGGAATGTGGATGAATATACAAATCTGCTTTGCCATCTCTATTTTGCTACGAAAGAGCGGCTCTGGTGGTTTAGATTCGAGGGGGAATCTGATGTGCTTCTCTCCGGCGTGGAGACCTTCGTTGGGAACTATGAGTAGCGCGTTACGCGTGAAGTAACATTACGCGGTG